AAATACTGATCGTAATACTTAACACTCTAAATTTTTTTATCGCTACTTTAGGCATGAAGTGAAGCAAAAATGAACCATGCAGTGGTCTTCGTGTATAAAGCATAAGCTTTTCCCCTTGCTGATCCCAATTCAACATCTGTGCCATGATCAGAGCTGACGGAAGCAGTTGGCACCTTCTAGTGCTCAGTTCGTTATTCTCTTTGCCTTACTCATGGATACTACCCTAGCTACGCATCCAGGTGGTTTATAGCTTGAATTTTGACCCTTGGAATAACAACCATAAATGAACCGTTTTCACTTGAATCACAACAGTCAAATGCTGGAACGGCATCTTAAATAGGTCAAGATTATTTCCATCGTCTTCTTCACAATAATTTAATTCTGCTATATAATACGGGGGGGGATCTCTTATACACAATCATTGGGGCTGAGCAAAATACAGAATGTGAAATACTGTAACCTGCCACCTCTCTCTCTCTCTCTCTCTCTCTCTCTCTCTCTCCATATATATAAATTACTTTTTCTAGTAAAATCAACTGAAAAAAATTGATATCAGCTATTCCAGTATTTATACAGCTCTTTTATGAATTGCTTGTAACTGAAAGGGTGCAGAGGAAAGAGACCCCTTACACTGAATCCTAAATACCCATCCCTGAAATGAACATGCCACATAGTTATGACTAAATGTTAAGCAATTAAATAATGTGTGTTGTTTCTCATCAAGTTATGGTGAACACAGAAAAATGAAGAACAAAGTGATCATTCCTGTCCTGAATTATTTTAAAGTTTTGATTGTCAGTCAGTGCCTGGATTCAAGTAGCACTGTTCATTGCTACATCTTGTCAGTACTTATAGTAAGAGAAACATTTTGTACCAGTGATAATAATTCTGATTCATTTTGCTGCTGTGTATTTTAATTTGTATTTATTTACGAGATGACTGGTGTGGAGCTAATTATACACATAACAATGGACTGGATTACTCAGTCAGTTCTTCTGCCAGGAAGGTGACTTCCTTTTGCCTTCATTATATCTCCATATGACAGAAACAGGTCTGTGACCTTATAATCTACAGCATGACATGCATATATGGAGAAATTAAGCAATTCATTCATTAGTCCACTGTTGCTGTTACATTATACTAGAAGCCATTTTGCAACTTTTAGAGAGAATTTGCCACATTATACAAAAAATGTAAAAATTGAAAAGGAAATTTTAATTTTCATTTCATATGTGTGTGAAAGTGCCAACTTTAGAGGATACAAAGTGTCACATGATCAGCGCAACGAATCCCCACGGCTGTTAAGCTCGGTTTTCTAGACTGGAGCCACTATTCCCTTGAAATAGCTCCTCAATTATCCTCATGAGGCTCAGTGGACCCTGTTTCAGACCCACTACTTCTCAGAAAATATGGTAGCGCCGGGAATCGAACCCGGGACCTCTGGATCTGTAGCCAGGAACTCTGACCACTAGACCACAGAGGCGGATACTAACTTCATCGAAACACGGCGGTCACTCGGTTGGAATAGTTCACTTGTGGACTCAAGCCACGGAGTATGTGTGTGAAAGTGAGTCTATTATTGTACCAATTTACAAGGGAGATAAAAGTGAGTGTAGAAATTATTGTGGGACAGGATATCACTGTTATCAACTTCATATAAAATTTAAGTTAAGTCCGTATGTGGATGAAATTATTGGAAATCATCAGTGTGGGTTTCATTGTAACAGATTAACTACTGATCAGATTTTTTTGCATTTGTCAGATACTGTAGAAAAAATGAGAGTACAATGAGACAGTACATCAGCTACCTGTAGACTTAAAAAAGCCTAAGATTCAGTTAGGAGGGAAGTATTGTGCAATATTCTTATTGAGTCTGGAGTACCCATTAAACTAATTAGGCTGATTAAAATGCGTTTAAATGAAACACATAATAAAGTCCATATAGGTAAAAATTTGTTTGAAATGAAGAAAGCAGTCTTCTGGGATGTGGCACCGTGTAGATGTGGTGTCAACCGATGTTTCGGAGGAACGTCGGTTAACACCACATCTACACGGTGCCACATCCCAGAAGACTGCTTTCTTCAGTCACCGCCGTGAAAACCTCAAATCTTACATTTGTTTGATAATTTTCTTATCCAAAATGGTCTAAAACAAGGAGATGCTTCATTGCCACTGCTTTTGAGCTTTGCTTTAGAATATGCCATTAGGAAGATCAAGGAAAACCAGGTGAGACTGAAATTAAATGGGACACATCAGCTGTTAGTCTATGCTGATGATGTGAATCTACTAGTTGATAATATAGATACTGTGGCGTATTTGATCAACACATACCACCCGAAACGTGACAATACCATAAAGAAAAACAAAGAAACTCTAATTTACACAGAGAGAACTAAGTATATGTTGCTGTCTCATAACCAGAATGCTAGGCAAGATCATGACATAAAGATAGCTAACAGATTCTTTGAAAATGTGGCATAGTTAAAAATCTGGGAACGAATCAGCATTTCATTCAGGAGGAAATTAAGATAAGACTGAATCCAGGTAATGCTTTCTACCATTCAGTCCAGAAGCTTTTGTCTTCTCATCTGCTGTCTAAAAATACTCGCTAGCTAGTGGAAGAATATTAAATTTCTTAAATACCCTGCAAGAAACTCTCCTTTTAACATCTTCCATCATTCTACACAATGTTTGCAGAATAGCACAGTAGTGTTTTTGTCAAATGGTTACCAGCTTCCCCTTCAGTGTGGGATCAAATGTTTAAAAAGTAAAGCTGAGATAGGTTTTTTTCATAGTACTTTTCCTGTTCCATGCCATTAATCATTCCAGTATTCTCCCACCTACATGCATTATGATGTCATTGTTGGTGCTACTGTTGCTGCCAGTGTTATCATCATCAAGATGGTACAGCAGGACATGTGAGGTTCTATTCCCAGTGGACTGGCATTTGCTTTGTCTACAAATGAAACCATCTGCCTGGATGTCCAGCCATCTTACTTTTATTTAATATTTTGAATCACCTCAAAGCCATGTTTCTGGCAATACAGGAGAAAATGATAACATATAAACTAAGCAGATTTTTAACTATACAGATGGATAAATGGATACATGATAAAGGTTCATTCTAGCAAGATAGGGTAACTTATTTGTGAAATGCTTCAGTTTGAAACATTGTGCAGAGTCTATTCCTGAATTTAAGACCACTGCAGTTACAAAACAGTTGATGAAAATCTGGGTCTGCATATTAATCAAAACACATTTCTTCTTTTAGGTGCCAAGCTATGGAAAGAGTGGTACAGTTAGTCATTCAAGAAGATATGGACGCTGAAGTCATTTCTCTGTTGGGCTCATGTCTCTGCACTGTTTTAAAAGAGCAATTGGAAGGAAAAGTCTTTCCTGTAGATGTTACTGATGAGTAAGTATATTAATTTGGTAAGCTTAAGGCTGCAGAATTCACATGTAGCAAGGTGATGTATAGCTGTACAATTTGTCGCAGCTGCTAGTCTTCAGAAATGAACAATATGTTTGCATGCATGCACACATCCACATATACACCATGTGGTCTCATTTTTATAGAAGTTTGTTCATAATTTGATTATCACTGTCCTAAGGAATGGCTTGTAAATTTTGTTATCCATGTGTAAATTCATTACCAAATAATGATACGTGTAACATCTCTTAAACACTATGTGCATTACATTTGTGAATCTGTTTTACTGACTTACAGAATGCTTGAGGACAGTATAGCTCACCCATTGTTTGCTATGTTGTGCAATGTGGTACAGTTGTCAGAGGATCCACGTAGGCACCCAATTTTATCTGTCCTGGCAGAAATGTTGAGCCACCAGCCAAGAGTGGGCTATCTACTTCTATATTTTCTTAAAGCCTGATAAGTATTAAAGGCTTAATTATAACACAAAATTAATACATATGATCTAATATTTATATCTACTGTTACATGTGGGATAAGTAGAGCGTCACAGTACATAGTCCTCTTTTCTGTTGCTGGTAGAGCAATTAAATTAAGAAAGATGAAATGGGTGAAAAAAATTGTAGTATGCATGGGGAAACTGAGAACAGGATTTTGATAAGAAAAAGAGGGTAGACTGCTTTCAAGATGCAGGCATAGATAGAAAAATAGTGCGTGAACTGGATTCAGATTTGAGGTTTTGTGAAACAATTAACAACCCTTCAATTTATATAAATGCAGATATGTCTTGATCAGCTGAACAACAGCTGTTTAAGGAAAACATTGAATTGTGTGCTTTGCTACTCGTAAGTATTTAAATGTAGATGGTACGGGTAAATTGTCTATCATAAGAATATTATGAATTATGACTTATCTAACATATTATACTTTCTTCCCTCAGTAAAATAAATGACGGAAAGTCATCAGCGTACTGTGAATTCTGTCAAGCACTGGATAAGGAATTAGAAAGCTGCTTGCTTACTGATTTGAAGGTAAGTAACAGTGAATTTCATCTCTGCGTATTCATTTCTCATTATTTGACATTGTTCTGAAGCTTATGTTTCATATTTGCTCAGCTCTGCCAGGAAGATGATGTGAGTTTGTTTTGCTGGCTTGTACCTGAAGTATACATTCAGTTCCCATCAGTTGCAATTGGTCATGCTCAACTCCTGCACTTGGTTGTATCAGCAGTGGATGCAGCCCAGTTGGTGTGTCTCAATCTACAATTCAATTGCTAGACGTTTTTTCTTTGCATTGTTTATTATAATCAAAATGATGATGATGATGGAAGGCAGAGATTGTCGGGGGGGGGGGCAGCGCCTGCGAAATAAGCTGGCTGATTACTCCTTAATACCAGCAGGAGCAATTCCCTCTCTGTGGAGTTATATTAACCCTTACACTGCTGTTGTCGACATATGTCGATCTCTGAAAAACATGGCGTCCTTGCTGCGGTCGACAAAACCCGAGTTTCAGAATATCAGGTTTCTTAGTACCAATCTCATTCAAACTTGGCGGGTGCATAGAGTCATCTATTGGGAACGTAATGAAGCATCGTTCATTTCAATGGCTGCATTCTTCTGCACTCTAGCTTAAGAAATGTAAAAGGTTGCGTCTGCAGAGCGATGCGCGGTAGGCACGATTGGGCACGATCGGCACGATAGCTGGCAGCGGTTGGCAGTAGTCGCAGTCGTCGCAGTGGTCGCGGTAGTTTGCAGTATTTTCTAGGAAGTGTAGTAGGAAAGGAAGGTGGAAATAAGTACTGTACTCTGTTTGTATATACGTAGATACGGTTTACAGTATAAGTACTATTAATGTAGTACGTCGAGGGGGTCGAGAGCTTTCCTGATCTTTACATTACAATATATAATCAATGTGAATAGAAGTAATTGTACTGTCAAAACGTGCCTTAATCCATCTGTTGGAAGCCAAGTTAAGGTAGGTTGAATTTGAAGTTTTCACGCTGTTGACTGTGAATAGTTATGTCTTCTGGGATATAGTGCTATGTAGTCTGGTGAGAGACAACGGAGACGTTTCGGAGGAACCTCTCCGTTTTCAGGGTCTAAGAGTAAGCCAAGCGAGAAACCAGGATGTAAAAGTCAACAAGTAGAGATAACCGCTTTCGGGTTGGGTTGGGAAAATTGCTGCTGGTCCTCGCCAGCACAACCATTCTTGGTTTTGGGTCCCATGGGATTCATGACCATTTTTTTTGTCACGACTGTGGGAGTCTTGCAATGACCTCAAGACTGCTTGCAGAAAAGCACAGGATCTGTGTAGGCTAGGGAGGAACTTACAAACCACCAAGTCTGCATCTTACTTGGAAACAGCCAACCAGAAGGACACAAAAGAAGAGCATCTGCCCCGGGTCCAAAAATTGGTTGCTGTAGCCATGTGGAGACAGAGAAATGAGAAGGGTGGGAGAGAAGTCATGTACATGAGTTGAGGCACACAGTTGGTAATAAAAAGAGCAAAATATAGTAGATGGGAAGTTGGAAAAGGAAAAAAATGCTCAGGGTTGATGGGTGCCTGGAAAGCGCAGAATTCATGCCCTAATATGGACTGTGTGCCCAGGCATATTTGGACTCATGTTGAGTGCCCTGTAAGGTAGATTTCCTGCAAACTTTCAGGGAGGAGATGAGAGGTTTCCTTGATTTGCTTAGGCAGAAGCCATCCTCCCTGTTCACATTCATGGTATGTAGTTTTTCTCTGTCACATCCTTGTTAATGTCCATATAATTGGTTTGGTGGTAAAGATGCTGGTGTCCCGAGTTGATGCTGTGGTCCATCATGGCTGACTTGTCTGCATTATCTAGCAAGATATGTTAGTGGGGTCGAATTGAATGGCCTGTCTGTCCCATGTGGACCTGACCACACTTGCAAGAGATGTTGTATACCTTGAGTGTCATCAGCTGTAGGTTTTCCTATTTATTTTAGTGAAAGCCTACCAAACTTGGTGATATGCAGGGACAACACCCTGTTAATACAGTTGGAGGCTGATGTATAATAGGGCAGGAAAGTAACTGAATCCAGATTATTGGTTGACTTTCACTGGACTACATGTGTTTATGTCCCTGAAGGTAGAACTTTTCATGTTAAGGTATGGTTTCAGTTCTTATGTGAAACCATGCAGCATTTGATGCAGTGGTTATTGAGCGAGTGCAACAGGATGTAGAATTCAGAATGTGAATGTCAGGAAAGTTTTACATTTGAATTGAGCAATAAAGGTTTGAAGGTGTTATTAGTTTGCTTCTTGACAGGGATAAAGGAAAAAGAAGAATCATTCATAGTATGTTCAGAAAAGTCATGAAGGACAGTACCCAAATTTGAAACAAGGAACCTTCTCAATTACTGTTCCGTAGATCTTTAGTCCAATGATTTTAATTTTGTTATTATCTTATACATTAACAAAGTACTTGTTACTGAAGTACATACCACCACACCAAAACACCCACAATCACTTTTGCAGAATGTATGATACAATTAGATAATTTTAGTTGTACTATTTTTAGTAATTAACNCAGTGATTGAGACTAGCTCTTTCTAACGGGCCCAACTGAGTAGGTTTATCCTTCCCTATCCACCGGAAGACGGAGACAGATCCAGTCTCCGAAACGTCGTGGTCTTTTGTCTTTTACATACCAGACGATGGGTGAAGTCCAAAATAAGCCAAAAGAAGTACAGTATATACCATCGTCAGAATCCTTTCAAACTTATTTACTCTTCTGATGCCCTTTGGGTAATGTTCATTGTGCATATGAGTACTTAAAGGTGCTTTATCATCTTTCTACCATTTATATGCATTCATAGTATATGAAGCAAGCGTACAGTGGGCATGATTTGTTAGAATGATTTTAGAATAATAATATTGTCATATGTTGCCTATTTAACACAAGAAGTAAATTCACGCAGGTCTCCGATTTAGCGAATATTTATTGGACACTTGCTTTTGCACATGCAAGTACAATTATGAAGAAAGAAGTCTTCTGGGATGTGGCACTATGTAGATGTGGTCACCTATGACTTTTGCGAAATTTTCTTCTTTACTCTTATAATTACTTGCACCGCTATCCTCGGTTAAGTGTGTTTGTCCCTTGTCGAAGAACTCTTCCTGCTAAAGTCACATACAAACTCAGTACAGACTGAATACAAACTGGCCGACATTGGACTGTTAAATCCTGCGCTCAGACACAATAGAGAGCACTTCCCATGATTTGATTTAACGTGTTCTATGCTTGTTACCTCAGGAATGCATTATTCCTGCTGTTTCAAACAGTTTGTTTGGTATTGAGTGGGAACTCAACAGTTTCCATGTATTTGTTGTCATGGAAGAATGCGTTCCCATCGCAGCCGTTGCGCAGCAAAGGATGTCATATAGCATGTCACAATATTTTTATTATACAGGGAAATATCTTGCACTTGGACTCTTTGTGTTGCTTTCAGATGTCAAAGCCAGAGATAAATTCATATGACAAAGGAATTATGTCACCTCCATCATTTGAAGAAGCAATGCAAAGTGAATCATCGAAACAAGGGGCAACATATCATAAACAGGAAGGGTGGGTTCCTGCAGTGAAGCCAGCTGGGGATGGCTTCCCAGTTGCACCAGCTTCGCTTGTAAGTGAACAAGAATGTTTTATGCCATTAAGACAGGTGTGGACAGACATTTTATATGGAGGGCAGATTTTTTCAGTTACAGTTGGTTTGCTCTTCTAGAAAGAGGAAATATTCCAATGTGATAACAAAGTTGTTTAAATTAATCTTTTAAACAACCAAGTGATATAATATATTAAAAATATAATAGCATACAGTATCTTATCCAGAATATAATCATTCATCATTCTTACCAATTAATATGACAAAGGGTGCTCCTTGTATTTGCTGACAGAATTTTTTTTCAACATTTTCCATCCAGAGCCCTGAAGTTTAATGTATTTTAAATCACTCAACACTTCAAAATACTGGCATACCTAACAGAGTTAACTTCTCTTTTTCTCCTCCTTGTGAAGGTCGCCGAATTTTAGCTGGAGGTTGCCAGCAGCTTGTTGAATATCAAACAGTAAAGGAAAATTCAACAGTTAGAATTTCATTTTTTTCTTGGAAACTTGAAATGAACTACAGAATTGTTCATGCTCCTTGATAGGATTGCCACATTTCTTATCAGCCACAGTTGAAGTGGCTTAAGTGCCTTGTAGAATAGAGAATTGTATACATTTATTTTCCTTTTCTTGTTTGGAAAGTGTGTGTTAGCATATATGACTTATAAATAAGGTTGCAGTTCCTCAGAAGAATCACATTTAGAAATTTCAGTTATTTAGATGTTCAGTAATTTCAAAGGGGAATGCAGGGTTAGTTTTGTAGGTTTTGTCTTTCAGTTGTAAGAATGTGTAATTTTTATCATCCATTTCAAAAACACTAGTTCTAGTACCATACTCTTTTTAGGACTACTGAAGTTAACAAGAATATGAACCGTCTGAAGTTGAAGTGTTCTATTTTCGTGAAATGCCCAAGTTTTACTGCAGTGCTTGGAACATGATTTAATCTTCAGAACAGTTACTGCATAGTACATCCAGTGAATTATGTAGTGTAATAACCAATGGCAAAAAGAGGGTAAAGCTATCCCTGTAATAGGCTGTGGAGGCCCATAGGGTTGTGAGACGTTGAGGATCCCGCATTTTATAGACATTCGGCTCACAGATGGCAGTAAGGTTGTCAGCCTTATGCTCTGGCCTCCCTTTGTCCCCCAGGAAGATTCCTGGTACTTATTTCTGTTAGAGGCTGAGTTGACCCCAGGGCCATAGTGCGGTTGGAAGGGTTAGATCAGTTGAAAAATCCAGTGACCTCATTGGGAATTGAAACCACGCCCTTCCAGCCTGTAGCATAGTGACTGTCACTCATGAGGATTTTTTATTTACTGAATCTTTAATTTTTTGTAAGACCAATTAGGTGATCCATCAATGGTTGTACTGGTTAACTTTTCCCAAAATCACATGTATTCTTCAAAAGTAGATGCCAGCTTTTTTACATGTCTTTGCTGTTTGTAATGTATTTTGTATCTCTTATGGAAAGTGAGTATGCTGGGGACATGCTATAGCCTTCATTGTTCTTGAAATTTCTCCCTCAGCCTCTGAACATGTTAAATGTTAACAGTTGTAGCATATGTTATGTTTTGTACGCAGGCAATGCCAGCAACTCTTCGTGATGTGGGGGCAGGTAATGTGGTGTATGTTGTGAACCAACCAGGGGGACCTGATGTCACTGAAGATAATCATATTTTTGGAGCATCATTTGGCAACAAAGCAATTCGAGCTGTGTTTGTGCGCAAGGTGTACACTATACTCATGTTGCAGCTTCTCACCACACTCGTCTTCATCACCTGGTTCATGTTTCAGTAAGTGGTGAATTGCTAACTTGAGTGTACATTGTGGTCATTGGCATCTTTGTCAAGGCCTCAGATGAAATAATGGCATGTAATTTTTCTGTCAGCCTTCTGTCTCTGTTTCACAGATCTTTTCTTCAGTCAGTCTTGGCTTGACATACATATCTTATAACAGATTAGCTTACCATAGAGACAGTGCAGGTGATATTTTGCATGATAACTGGGTTGGTACAGTGCTTCTTTCAAAGGAACAGAACAAGATACAGTCATCATTTCTATGATGAACAGTTACCATGTTCATAGAATGTCAAATGCTATAACAAGGTGAAACTGTTATATGATGTTAAAAATTCAAATTAGTTACTAAAAACTTTTTCTTAAAGGAATCCTTTTATTCAGTAAAAGAATACCTTGAATGGTCAGCATAATGATGGATCATACAGAGTGTAATTGTTTTTTATATTACCTATTTACAGCTGTGTTATTCCTTTCTATATTATTTTTGTTTAAGTATGTTTTAGTGTATTATATGAAATATTGTGATTCACACAAATAGTGTCCTTGATTACATAGTGTTATTTATTGGCAAGGTTGTGTGTTATAACTGCTACTATTGTACTCGTTTTTAATAATGGACTACTTCTGTATCTGTCGTGACTTATCACCTGTATGGATTACTTGAAGTGTCAATAAATTAAATTAAATTAAGTTATATTAAAAACAATGAAATCCCAATCTGTTGTTCCCAGATGTGATGAATATTCTTACTGACAGTGATTAGCCTTGATAACTTGAAAGTTACATTTCAGCAGTGACATTTTTTCCAAACCAAATTTAATGATTATGCTGCCATGACTTGAGCACCAGGAGCTTGTTTATAAAAGCATGATAAAATTTTACAAGCTTCAACCTAAGTCATCATGGACATATGGTAAACAGAAAATGACGCTGTTCAGGCCTATGTTCTAGCCATTCAGACTGCAGACTGAGCTAAGCTACTTATGTGAATTTTTGTGAGAATCTTTTCTCTCTGCTTTGCTATATTGTGTATGTACAAACTGACTATACTTGGTGTTTCAAAATATGTCTGAATTTCAGAAATTAATGTTCTTTCCGTGCTGAAAGAAACATTGCACTACAGTGTATACAAAATTCAGCTTGTGTCCCATGATTTTCTGACACATTGTTGAAACAAAAATTAAAGAAAGTAACGTGTGTGGTCAAATATGTGTTTTGCTATTTTTCAGTGATGCAACTCGGGACTTTGTACGGCGCAATAGTATCATCCTCATCACTGCATAGTAAGTTGCACTGTACTCAAAGAAGCCATGTACATAGGTTATCCAGAAAGTAAGTTCCGATGGACTAATGAAAAAGCAAGAATTATTTACAAGCCATTTATATTGCTGTTTGATGTACATACTGTACATTACTTTTCAACATAGTTTCCACCATTGTTAAGGCACGTGTCATAGTGGGGCACTAGTTTTTGTATCCCTGCATTGTAGAATGATGCTGCCTGTGATGTGAACCACGTGTTAACAGCTTCTTTGACCTTGTTGTTGTCGTGGAACCGTGGGCCACCAAGGAAGGTTTTCGGATGCAGGAACACATGAAAATCACTTGGCTGTAAGTCTGGGCTGTAGGGGTGATAATCAAATTGTTCCCAGCCAAATGTCACAATGAAATCTTGCATTGTGGCAACAGTGTGTGGGCGAGCCTTTCATGAAGCCTTACAACACCCTGACTAAGCATGTCATGTCACTTGTTCTGAATCACATGATGCAGTTTCTTGAGTGAGTTGTAGTAGACACCTGCGTTAATTGTTGAGCATTGAGGCAAGAATTCCACAATCAGAACGCTTTTTCTGTCCCAAAACACTGCACATGATCTTGCAAGTTGAAATGGTGTATTTGAATTTTTCCTTTACACCTCACAAAGTTGATGATGAATGTTAGCTGTTTTCACGTTTCTTGCATTCAAGAAATGGATTAAAGACTGCATTTCACATGTGGCTTCTTGATTTTCTTGAACATTGTAAACATACAGGACGCTGCGTAAACATGGTTCAATTGTCTGCAAATGGTGTCTGTGCCATCCAAAAGGAACAACAAACTCTGCAGGCATGTGCACCATAGTGATCACAGCACTGCAGCAGCAATATTTGCAAACGGAACTTATTTTGTGGGTACGCCTTGTAACAGAACGTGACTATCTAGTATACATTTTAAGTTGTGAATGTTAATGTCAGGATTCAAGGCCAGGCTCTCCATATGCAGGTAGCTGAGTATTTAGAGATGTGATCTTATATATTTCTGAAAATTCAACTTTCTGTTTATCACTTCTGTTGAAACCTTTCTTTTCTGTCTGAAAATGTGCAAGATAGAATGACTGTCTTGTACAGTTTGGTTGTAATTCACAAGTGGCATAAGACATTCCTTTTAAAGTTTATTCAGAGCATATACATTCCAGGCAGTTACAGTGTTGCCAGTGTCATTTAGGAATAGAAATTGCAGCCTTGCCTGTGTATGTAAAACTGACAGTCTCTTGTTGTATCAAACAAATTCACTCCACGTGCTTTTTCTTAAAAGTAGCTACATAGCTTGGCAAGAAATTTTCTGTTTTACTTACACCCAATAGCTTATCACTATATTTGTAAAACCAAGTCATTGGATGTTTCCTGAGCCACGTAATTGTAATTGATGCTTTTGCTCTCTCTTTCTCTGAGATCCATATTAATATTATTCTCTCATCTGTGCCTAGTTTGGTTGTGATGTCACTTCCATTGAAGTTTTCTCATCAAATTTTTGTATAGGTTTTCATTAGTTGTAATGCGTGCAGGATGTCCTATCCTTCCTTCCAATCATCTTTCCCATCTTTTCTGTCTTTCCTTCATTGTTCTATAATAAAATTAGGTGTTGAATACGAAGTATGAATATTATTATGTAATGTTTTGCAGTTGTATGTGAATTTGTCATACTTTTGCCAAAATATGTTCCTCATCACTTTAGTTAGTTTCACATACTTTTATGAAAGTTAAAGGCCTTCGTTTCACATCTCCGCAAATGTTATGGCATTGAAAAAACATGAAATATCATTGCAGGAAGTCACTAAGATGATGTTTTTTTGGAGGATACTATAGTGTGGTACCTAACAACCACTTCAGCATGCAGACTGTATGGTAGCCTAGTCAAGAAAGAGAAGAAATCTTACGTATCAGACAGCAGGACATTTATATGTTGAATTATTGATGTGCTGCATGCTCTCTGGACAAAATAATTTTATGAACCATCAGTAGCAATGCAAAAACCGTAGTGGCCTACAGTGATGAACAAAGGTCCTTGCAGTCCTAAAGGCTGAGTTTCTTGTTTGTTATAGCGTTACGTTTGTGGTCACATATATCATTTTGGTGTGCTGCTCAAATGTCCGCCGCTCCTGGCCCTGCAACATCATCGTGCTTACAATATTTGTAAGTATTAACCCATGACTTTCCTGTCGACACTGTTGTATAGTATTAGTAATAGGAAGTTGTGGAAAAATGTTGGATGTTTTCGTACTTTTTAACCTTCTGTCCTAAAAGGGAACCTAACAGAGGCTGTAAATTAATACTTAACAGAGCAGTAATTACCTATTTTTATGCATCATTTGTACATGTGGTTGCTTGGAAAAGTTCTGGGGTGGAATACCAGCCTTGGAGCAAGATTTTTATTCTTATTTATGTTTTGTGAAAGACTGAACTGTGGAATTTGTTTCGTCTGATGGAACTGCAGTGGTGTTTACCTGTATCACAGAGCTATCGATAAAGTCTGCTTTAAACTTGTGTATTTCCATGTTTACCACATAGAAGACATTGTTAATTTATGAGAAGTCATAGCTGTTTGGCCATGGATATTTCTGCCTGTGGTGAAGAATATGCAATGGAACCTTCAGAGAAGGTAGTTTGTTTACACTTAATTTATCTCATCGCCATGAAACTGGTAATCTGGAGGTAGTTGCAAAAGAAATTTTTTTCTGTGAATAGTTGTATGAATAACCATTCATCATGTGGCATGATGCCACTAGAAGTGCCAGTTCACTGTTTAACAGTGAAGATTTTGTCATAATTTTAGTCATTATATGATGTTTGTAATAGGTGTATATTATTTGTTCTAGACTCTGTCCATGTCATATTGGGCTGCTACAATTTCAGCTTTCCACGACACATACATCGTGATTATGACAGTTGGGCTTGTGACTGTTGTGTGTCTCGGCATATCCTTATTTTCTGTACAGACTAAGGCAAGTGCATGAGCTCTAAGTTGTATTCTTAAGTTATTTTTCTCTTCTCAGTTCTCAAGACTGAGCTATTTTTGTGCTATTCTGACATATCGGTGCTTCATTTTGTGTAACTAATTAAGTAAATCACAAGAAATTGTTTGTACAACAGGTATCAGTACAGTGAAATCTGGAATTCAGTTAAAATATTCCAGTGCAGTGAATATCAGTAACAACTGAAAAAGTCTGATGAGAGCCTGTCTCTTAGTCAAGACTTGAATGCAAGACCTTCTGGATATGACACAGGAGTGATACCCACATGATGATAATGTTTGATGATGTAACTGTTCAGTAAAGTTGGATCCAACAAGCAAAAATAATTCTTTTTCCTTCCCTCTTCTTCTTTTTCAGTCACCTTTGTTTTGTATCATGTGTGCTGGCTGTGTTTTTAAATAGTGACAGGAATGTGAGTTTTCCCAAGTGTAACTCAGAAGTTTCCTTCTGTTGGAGGTTTATGCATTCTCAGTATGTCTCAGTTCTCTTTTGAAACATTCCTTTCAGGTCACCTCTCAGCCTAGCATCTTGCTGTGAGGACCCTCCAGCATGCCTTTATGATTTTGTCTCACAGTTCTGTAACTGTTTCTGGCTCATGTTTGCTGATGAACAAATAAATCTGGAAAGTAGATGAAGTTTATGTAAAATGTGTTACCACCCCTTCTGTTCTTCAGATTGCACTTCAGTGTTGCATGTGCGCTTGCCATCATTTATGTTGCATTTTGCCTGTTTTTTCTGAAATGTACATAGATATTGTAAATACTCGTATAGCCGGCCATGTCAGTTGTCGGACTCACTCCCTCATTGTCATTTCCTTCTCAGCCACAGTTACCTGGAAAAGCTTTTTATTTAGTTATATTTATTTTGACTTTCCCATTAGTGGAATGGAACCTGTGGATCAGTGTTCATATTAAAAACTTCTGATGTGAACTACCACCCATCCTTACACTGTTGTCCCCCCACCCATCAGCCATAGACATCTGAGAGGAATTTTATTTTCATCTTGTGACTCGTTTAGATATTGCTGTCTCAGAGCTGACAAGATCTTGAACAAATGTAAATGGCTTTTGGACAGAATGATCATATGGGCAGGTTGTGACTGAAATTCTATAATTTTGGTCTAAGAATGAGCCTGCTAGAATGAATGGCATGAATAAGTCACAGCAGGTAAATATAACAGCAAGCAAAGAACATTGTATCCGTCCCTAGGTGTAGTGATTCATCGTTTTACAGGCATCTTTCTATCTGACACTGTATGACGAATGCAGTAAACAAAGCCTTCTTATATGGACAGATTTCATGATGTGTGGTTATATTATGACATTACATAATATTACAAATTTTAATTATATGACATTCTGTCAGCTTCATTCTTTGTGGTATTCACATTTTCAAGTTATAAGTTATTCTCAAATACAAGTACATTATTTAGATAAGATATGAAATTTTGTGACAGTGGTATATTAATACAACTAGTATGTTTCTGGACATTATCCATCGTCCTGTTTTTATTTAAACCACAGTGTATCGGATGCTGGATTCTGTCTCTGTCTTCAGGTGGAACCTGCTCAGTGGGGCCCAATTGATAGAGCTAGTCCCTAGTTTTAAATAAAAACAGGACAGTGGATAATGTCCAGAAACACAATAGTAGTACATTTAGGCTATTCATTCCAGCCCTTTCATGCTGCTGCTGCTTTTATTTATTTATTTGTGTGTGTGTGTGTTAAGATTTGCAGAAGAGAACCTGAGGCAACATTTCTGTTTACCATTGCTCTTGTATTTCAGTGGGATATCACTGGAGCAGGAATATACCTGTTTGTGTTTCTGCTAGTGGTTTTGCTGTTTGGGATTCTGGCTGCAGTGATAGCACTCACCACTGGCAACCGAATCATGACGGTGGTGTATGCCGGGCTGCTCGCTTTGGTGTTTGCTATGGTGAGTTAAAGATTGAGTTTCTTTGTATTGTCTTCCTCTTTCATTTTCTTCTCCTATAATTTCTCTTGCTGGCCTCCTCACTCTGCCTGTTTTATGGGTGTGGCATTGTTTTCTTTTTTCTTTTCCGCTTCATTCTATCTGGCATCTCCTGTTCTGATTTGTAATTACTGTATTTATTTGCATAATTTATGCCTCTGTATAATTTACACGCCATACTTTTAGACAAGAGATTTTGAGGAAAAGAAATATGTATATTATTTGCAACTTTTAGTCTCACCTTTTTGGTTTATACAGTTAAGAATGTAAGAAATCATGTAATTTGTACTGCATACTCTGACTTGTATATTATCAGTTCGAGGAGACACCTGTAGAGGCTACTGAAGCAGCGCACACAAATGTTTTTCACTTGCTCATTTGATGAAACCTTGGCCTTGCCCAAAAATGGAGAGGCAAAAAGGCACACATTATGGAAATGCATATAATTAGCGGTGTCTGTACACATTTTGCTACTCCTGCATGCACTGTAGATGCTATTTAGTAAACTGGACTACTGAATTATAGTCAGAACAAATGTTGGATCATCATTGATCATTTAGATGTCGTGTTTGGTCATCTGAACGTTAAGTAGACCAAGTAGCTTGAAGGGTAAGCCATTAAATCCAGTTTATTTTAATCTTTCAAGGAGGAGTCATATCGTGTTACTGAATGAGATGGTTTTGTGAAGTGGTCGGTTTTTTGAAAGTACTACATCAAATGAAAAAGCACAACCTGCATCCACACTACCTTTCATACCATATTATTGAACCATATAATATTTTAGTTAATAATTTTGTAAATGAATCAGTATGGCCAAGAGAAATAGTTGTTTGTTAACTCTCTTAACCATAATTTTTGTATTGATAAAAATACAGTGCTTTGTCTCTTGCACATAAAAAGTGAAAGCATTTTGGGTTAAGTACATTTAGTTGCTTTCTGATTACTCCTAATAAATATATAGATATAAGTGTATATGTTTGATTTCTATGTAATCATCAAGTTGGTGTTTTGAATATGATCCTGAAGCCAAGAGGTAGAGTGAGGCATGGCACAAGCCATAGTCTCCAAGACAGAAGAAAGCTCACATGAGCAAATAAAAAATGAAGACAAGAGTCATTATTTTTTTTTTCAATTCTTACGGGATACTTCCTAAGGAATTTATGCCACCCAGTGTCATAGTGAATCACAAATATTTTGTCAAAGTGCTGGACCACACAAGAGAAGGGTGATATAAGTTCAAATGGAAATTTTAGACTATTGGTTCCTTCGAGCTTCATCACGATAACGCACCTGCACACACAACATTGTCAGTTCATGAATTTCTGGCGATAAGTGCATTCCTATGCTTCTCCAGGTTCCTTATTCTCCAGATGTGTCACCTTGTGATTTTACTTTTTCCCAAAATTAAAATCGATTGTTAAGGGCTATCATTTTCAAACACTTGACAGCATTCAGAAGTATGTAACTGACGCCATCAAGACCCTAACAGAAGCTGACTTACAGTCCTGCTATGAGGCACGGAAAATTTGCTGGGCCAAGTGTGTTGCCTCAGAGGGATGTTATTTTGAAGGGAACAGTGTCTATTTAGAGGAATAATTGGATAAACGATTTTGTACCAAATTAATGTCATTGCTTTTTTTAGAACACCATGGTTTTATATCTGTAGGCTGGTACAACAGAATAAATGCCCACAAATAAAGTTAAAATGTGTACATTTTAAATGCAATCAGCTTTTCTTCAAATGAAGTTCACTTGATAGGGTCACTCTCAATAATTCATTATCACATGATAATTTGGAATTTGAAATTGACTTCCCTGTGAGGTAGCATACTGTGGCACGTGCAGCTGGACTCTTTGTGTATTTGTGTTAATATTTTGTTTTGCAGTACCTAGTATATGATACTCAGCAGATCATGGGGGGCCGCAAGGTGGAGTTGTCTGCGGAGGAACACATCTATGGTGCTCTTCAGCTGTACATAGACATCATCAACTTGTACCTGATCTTTCTGTCACTTGGGAGTAACTCCTGCAAATAACTTGCTCCCCAGGTGATGAAAAGTTTTTGTGTTATATGCCATAATAGTGTGCGAAGCCAAAACAACTTGCCTGAATTTAGTATTCCTCTTTCAGCATTTGATTATGACAATTTAGAAGGTTACTAATCTTATACATAGTCAGGAAAAATCTTTCATAGTATGGAAAGATGGTAGCTTTAATATAAGACATGACTGGTAAGAAAATTTGCACTCTTTTCTGTCTCAAAACAATTTTTACTTTTTTATATAGAAGTCATCTGTGGATTTCATATTTCACACAACTATATTGCCCTTATAGGTTATGTTTCCAGCAATTACAGAATTTCCTGCCCCTTTTGAATTTGTAACTGCAGAGGAGCAAAAAGTACTTTCTTGATGCAGGTATGCATGAATATAATTTGTGGATTTTGTATTCATTTTTAGGTGTTCAATATTTGAATAATTATCTTTAGAAAATTAAGAATCCAAATTGTATGGAAATTAAAACAAAATGGACAATTTTGCACACTTAACTGATATATGGACATTTGTTGTGAGGTGATCAGGTACCTGCTTGCACTGAGAGTGGTGTCTCGTATCATTTTACATATCCTGCATGTATATCCGTGTTATGTCAAAGACCACCAAACCCTGCATTTCCAAGACATGTTATGCAACATTTTTGGAGATGGTCACTGTACTGTATGTAACATGTCATTTCTCTGTGGAATAAGGGTAGACAGGTTTATTGAATTTATTCAGTTTTATTCTTATGTTGAAGTCATTTTATCTTCTCTGTTGTTTTAAAATATGGATGGCCCAAATAGAGCCTTTTTATTACTAGTTTTTAGTTCAGTATAACATTTCTTCTTTTTTCAAGTCAGATCACTCTACAGTCTGATAATGTGTAATTTTATTATATGCCAGGGTTAGTAAAGGTATTTTAAGTTTACTTTTATCCCAGTGGAAATAGCTGTAGGTGATGTGCCTATGAACTTATTCACTCTCTGTTCACAGTGTATTTGAGATTTGAGGTTTTTATAACGACTGTGCTTCCTGTCGTCTGGGATGTGACACTGAATAGCTTAGTAGATAAGTCGTAGTGTTTCAGAGGAATATGATGATGCAAGGACTCTTCTTACTTGAAGGTGGAGTTAGCACATTTTTCCAAAACACTCCTATTTATTTACGAATGTTACATCCCAGAAGAAAGTAAAATTAATTCTTTATATATATTAAATACGTATTAAGTTCAGTCACTGCAGCACTTCAGTTTTTGCTTTAGACTTCGCTGCTGTACCTCCCATTTCTCTAATTGTGTGCCTCATGTCTCCCCAGAATGATATCTACAACTCATGGCCAGGTCAGCCAACAAACCTACTTAAAAGAATATTGATGACAGTACTAGCAGTGAGACACCGAAACCACTCTCCGTCTGGCCATGTTGATCATCTCTGCAGCAGAATCTGGGAAGGAGTAACAGCAAAGGTCATGAAGGTCTACCTCAGCCTGCTCACAGGAAGGATGTATGATAGTTCAGAACAAAGTCCAGCTTGGCACCTCTAGTGACACATTCTCAATGTCCTCTTTGATGCATTCTCCCAATGTCATGCTTCTTCTGTTATGTATGATTTTCTTGCTGACAGTGTGGAGAACTGTTAACATGTGGTTTTGTCATGAGTTGATCTTGTTCACTTTCTAGCTGCAAATTACAAATCTTACAATGCCCTTGCATCAGTGCATTTTAAAAGCAATTTTATGGACCAAGGGATCTATCTGAATGTGTTCATAAAATAATTTTGTTATATGAGAATCAGTAATAATATTTGATATTAGGATAGTCTGCAGATGTTACATGTTATTTCTCCATGAGATTTCCTTTTCTCTTACAAGAAATACCAGACATAATGTAGCAGTTACCACAGTTATTTCACACTTTTATGTTTCTGTTTCTTAATTGAGCCAGAACTGGCAGTTTTCCTGACTTAGGTTTCTTGTTTTCCTCAGTCCCACCAGCTGAATGCTGGGACAGCACCATAAAATAAACTGTGGCTATTTTGTCCCATTTCCATCCCAGTTCTCCACTATTGTATTCACACCTCTCATGTTTTTTTTTAATTCGCTTAGTGGGGCATGGAGTCCAACTGGGTCCACTCGGCATGGCGGTCACTGATTGGCATATTGTACCTGCCCCGGGTGATTATGATGGATAATTTGGTGGAATGAAGATTGGCATGGGAAACCGAAGTACTCGGAGAAAACCTGCCAAAGCGTCACTTTGTCCACCACAAATCCCACTTGACCAGACCTGGGATCGAACCCGGGCCGTCACGGTGGGAAGCCAGCGACTAACCGCTTGAGCTATGGCGCGGCCCACCTCTCATGTTACAACAAGGGACATCTGCAGTTAATGCATCTTTAATAACACTTCCAGCCTGGGGTATTTAAATAATTAAACCCCCTGCACTAGAGTGTTTTGAGTGATGTAAAAAATGAATAGCTTTTATAGTTTTTATGGAAACATGTGAAAGTTTGTCAAACAAAAATATAAGCTTTTCTTACATTCCTTGCAAAAAATAGACTGCTAACACTTAGTTGATAGGGGATGCCAGAGTTGTGTATCTTTAGGCTGGCACAGTGTAATAATTGCCCCCAAATAAAGATAAAATAACATATAAATCGTAAATGTCATCAACTATTCATCAGATGAACTAAGTTCACTTGACAGGGTCACTCCCAGTAGTTTATTATTGAGTGGTAATTTTTAACGCAGTGTCCTAAACAGAGTGCCACATCATGCTGCTGGCAGTACACTGTCATAAGCTTCTTGATTCCTGTTTGGTGCTTGCCAGTTTTTGTACATGCTTTAAAAGTTCACTGAGGTTGGCTTTCACTTTTATCTGTGTTGGCAGAATTCTGTGCAGAAAATGGTCTCTTTCAGTAAGTTTTCCAGCAGAAGTTCACCTGGCGCATTTCTGAATGTCTTGCCCTGCATCACTGAGTAGGCCATTAGTAACCATCTCGTGGAACTACTCTAGTTAGGTGTTTTAACACTTTGTGGACTGGTGGCATATTGTTATGATTTTAGGACACGTTATGTTGAAACACACTATACCTTGCACTGGCACCAGGCAGATGCATGACTGGTGCATGATAGACCTCTTGAATGTTTGCTTCGTAGTCAGTAACATGACCCTGCTGTTTATGACCCAACTGTTTTCCTTTCCCACTCCAAAAGAAAATGCCTTTATTCATCTTCCAGCTGCATCCACCTGGCAGGAAGTTACTAGTGCAAAATGGATCAAGGTCAGAAGAGGTTGAGGTCCAAGCGTTTTCTCGGAAAACAAGAAATATCTGACTTGTTCTCCGATGAGCTGTATGACGTCCCTTGTGAGTCTGCTAGTGATACGACTCACAATCTGATAGTGTGGCAGGGGCGAACAAAAAATTGTGGCCACAGATAGTGAAAGTGACAGTGACACTAGCTCCGACGAAAGTGCGGGTAGCAACATTGTGGGGACAGCCAGATGGGGAAAAGTAGACAAAACGCCTGCTTTGGGACAGTTTACTGGAAATCCAGGGGTGAAGCAAATTCCATCGGACCCAACGCAAGTGTCTCAAGTAGCGGAACTGTTGTTTGGAGATAGTTTCTTTGACATGCTATATTAGGAAACTAACAGATACTATCTCCAACACCGTGAACATTATGACAGAATTTATAAGGCGTTGAAGTGAGTGGATGTCACTTCAGCAGAAATGAGAAAATTTTTTGCACTAATCTTTCTAATGGGCCATACAGCAAAAGGAGTATGACTGTCTACATGTGCAAGTTCTGTGTAATGCCAATTCACAAAGGGGAATGTTTCCAAAAATATCACATTCTCAGGCACTTCTAGGAGCATTGGTAAGTGTTCTCCAAAAATTTTAGTTCATAAAATTAATTATGAGATTTTATATTGATTTTTAAAGTGAACAGTACACAAGTTAGAGTAGTAGGTTTAAAAATGCCGGTCCCCAGAGCGATTTAAATGTTTAAATCGCCGGTCTGTGAAGTGTTAAGTTTTCTTTTTATTTTGCAATGTGTGTGAGCATCGACTATACACAGGTTGAAGAGATGGAAGAAAACTTATTCCACTGCTACACTGACTTTCTCTAGAATGAGTAATATGCAAGCATTGATTTGAGTTGTCAATGTCAATTTTGTATTGTTGTAGTCCGTAATGCTGTAGGTTTTGTTTTCTGTCACCCTTATGTCTGTGCTAAGCCATCTCATTGCCATGGGCGATACTCAGAACTTGAATGTCTGCGGTGTCTTTCCATTATATAGCCGAGAAGTTCTGTCTTTGTAAACTATTTTTCTCTCTCTCATGCCCTCAGCTGTTGTCTTATATGTTTGGGGCTAGAAAACTGTTAACCCATATACATATAATGCCCCCATGTTTTTGACTTTCTGGCAGAGCCTATCTACAGCAATAAATTCAGTGTTATGATTCTTGTCAGTAGGTATGTGCCAGCATATATTTCATTGTTGTGTACATGGCCATGTTTTTGCTTCACACAACTGAAGAATCTTGATTCCATGCTTATGTAGTTGTCTTGCACAAACACTTGAAGAAATATTTGCCTTTGAAATGCACAGATTGCCTAATCAGTGGTAAGTCCTTTCTCAGGCACATATACTTCTTGTAATTTTGAAGTTAGGCTGTGTAATATGGGTCAAATTTTGAGTAAGGTGTCATAGCCCAGTTGTCCCCTGGCTACTTGTGTGTCATCATTATGGACTGGTGACATAGCTAAAATCACTAGAAATCTGTTGAAGACATACCAGCTGGTGCTGCATAGTTGCTTTGCATTATTGGTCTTTTGCTCCAGTAATCATACAAAGATGGCTTATAACAACATGGACGTGATTGATGACTGCACAGAACACTTTTTAGTTACTGTGATGTTACAGATTTCCACTGTGCAAATGCAGACTTTTCTCCAAAGGACCACCTTGCACCTTCTTGTTTACATATTGTGTTGTGTATGCATTTATTTCATCATGCATAATTTTGAAAATTTCGCCAATGAAACATTCCGAAAATGTTCACCTGTGTCGTATTTAAATTTCGAGACTCCACCCTAATTCAGAATCAGAGTTTGGCCATTTAGGTCTTACTCTCACTGTTCTTTTATGACCCCTACTTGGTTCCGGTCAAGAAGAAATTTTGTTTTCACTATTACTGCTACTGCTACCACTGAAACAAGATACTGTGAGAAATTCTAAGTGACAGAAATTTGAGTAAATTCCTCTGAATCTGAATAATTTATAATTTATGATATTGTCTGTCACAAAAGATGCTATAGCCACAAACTGTGACCCAAACTCATACTAGGCAGTTAGTTATTTATTTTGATTGAACTGTACTATCAGTCACATGGAATCATATGAGGTTATCTTGGTTCTTTGAATTCATAATCACTTTGTCTTATAGCAGGAAGCAGAAAGGTCTTCATGTCTTGACCTTGTGTATGGTACTGAGGCAATGAAAACACCAAATTCAGATGGTTAATGTGTAGTCAGTTTATTTTTTGTGTCAAGGTGGTAGATTCTTGTTTTATGAGGAGGTAATGAAACCTCCTGGCACCCAGTAGAATGAGTATTATGGATCTTTTGCCCAATGAAAAGTTCATGTTGATAATGCAGATTTTGTTCATGAATTTTAACACTTTGTGGACCGGCGATTTAAATATTTAAATCATCCTGGGGACCGGCATTTTTATACCTACTACCCTAACTTGTGCACTGTTCACTTTAAAAATTAATATAAAATGTCCTAATTAATTTTATGAACTAAAATTTTTGGAGAACATTTACCAATGCTCCTAGAAGTGCTTGAGAGTGTGATATTTCTGGAAACATTCCCCTTTGTGAAGTGGCATTACACACTTGCAATGTAGACAGTCATAGTCCTTTTT